TGCATGTGCACAGAAAAGGAGGGGGGCTAAAAGGGGTAATTATTGTATATCTGGCAACACTGATGCCAGGCTTTAAAGGTAAACGCATGCAGTCTCAGCATGAAAAACAAAACAATTATATTCACAATAGTGAAAACAGAACTTTTTTTGACCGAGGATGAGGTTTGGTTGCTCCTGTGTTGAAAAGGACGAGAAACAAACAGAACTTTGATATCAGCTGTTGCTTCACGGTGCTCGCGCAGGCACAGAAAAACCACTGACTGCAGCTGCGGGTGGAGTGCAGACATTTCACACCCATGTGGGAGACCTCCCAAATGGAGGTTAATGGACAACGCTGTTGTCGTGCACACGAACAACCGAACTGCAGCAGGAAAGCTACAGTTCTACTAAAATTGGTGCCAGGTTTCTTTACTCCATAGGCTGCAGGGTGTCATGTGCACAATGAGAGTGTTCGCTTGTGCTTATTGTGCAAATTCAATTCAACCTGTATTTATACAGGTTAGTCTCATTGAGCCTGGAGGACTCGTTTACAAGAGAGACCTGTTTTTAACAAAACATGATGACAACAGTGGACAATCTTAAACGAAAGCATATACATAAAAAAATAAAAGAAAATTATGTTAAAAAAAAGAAAAAACAGGTGAACAGGGCTTAAAGCCTGTAGTCCAAGACATTTCCATTTTTTCTGTTTTCCTAAGGTCGTCTAAATGTTTCTGAGCAGAAAATAACCAAAACTCCTGCTGGAAGCAGACTTCACAACTAAATATGGCAAAGCCAAGTTTCTGGCAAAATGTCACGATTCCACAACAAAAAGCGCTCACACTGTTAGTGAGAAAGAAATGGACAAAAAAAAAAAAAAAAAGAGAAGCCTTGAATTGTAATAATGTACAAGAGATTATATTATAGATTATACAGATCTGTCTTGTAAACGAGTCTTCCAGGCTCAATGAGACTAACCTGTATAAATAAAGGTTATCCAGGAAGTAGTGTGGTGAATAATCAGGTTGGCCATTTTCACACTGACTGGTTCGTTTTGGTTCGGTGGAAAGGTTTGATGCACATTAGCCACATTAATATATGTCACTTCACACCATGATCAAAGTTAAACTCAATTCTTCTTGGGCTGAATCACATTGAAACACAGAACCATTCTTCAGATTAATGGCTTTCAGAGCACAGGGTTGCCAGTTTTGCTCTGAAAACCTCTTCCAAATTGAATTAGTGTATTTATACATTAGTCTTGTAGATTTTTTCTATGTGTTAAAATGTTTGCAATGTTTTAACGAAGCACTGAAGAAATGTCTAAAGCTGATTGAAGTCATGTCTTGACATTGCCAGGGATGGATCAAGCAGTAGCTTGAGATTTTGACAGGAAAAAGAAAATACTTGGAAAGAGAAAGATGGGACAAGAGAGGAGGAAGGGGGGATATCAGACGTGCTTAAGAGAAAGACAAGTAGGGTAAAGGAGCTGGTAAAACAGAGGTATCAAGAGGAAGAATGTATGTTTTACTTGCTAACTCCACATGTCAAATGGGTTTGACCTGCTCTTCTCTCCAGAGACCTGGAGTTTTCGTTTCTTTCTCCCCTTTCATTTCCAGCAGAGCAAAGAGTGTTTCTCTTCTCCGCGTTACGGGATGATTCAGTGGGTTTGCTGCAGTTTACCCTCAGTAGGATTAGAGCTTGAAGGTTTCTTATTATCTTCTACCGTTTGAGTTCCTTCGTCTGTTAGGAAGAGCAGTGGAGCTTAAGACAAAATTATCCCCTCGGAGCCTTTCGAGTGGCGCAGCTCCTGCCTGGAAATGGCTGTGGGAGCAGTTTGGCAATGGGGCAAATTGAAAGAAGGAGGCAGCCATGATGTGGCATCGGAGTAAATGAGAGGTCGGAGAGGATGTTAGGCTTTAATTTATACAGCAGGATGGGCTAGTGGAGGGCACCGAGGAGGAACGAGGCTGGAGGACGTGAGCTGGACGTGCTGACAAATGACTAGAGAAGGAAGCGATGAAAATTCAGTCAGAGCGAGTTCAGACTCTTCTCGTCTTTGACAGGAGTTTGGGAAGCAGCTACAAAAAAAAAAAAACGTTCACAGAATAAAAATGTCTGCGCTTCAGTAATTCCCACTGAGACCTGGATTTTCTTTTCTATTAAAATTCACTGAAGTAAAGCAACAAAAACAGGTCTTTGAATCTTGAAGCATTTAAACACTGTGTACAGTTTGATTTAAGGAATTGTGTGCATACAAAGATAAATGTATTGAATTGTAATATCTAGTTTTATTAGAAATTCAATTTGCATGCTAAAATATATTAGAAGGTTTGGTTAAAAAAAACCATTTTTTTTATGATTTAGAACACATTTGGGTAAGCGGGTATGGAATAACCTACAATAATAGTAATTTAGGATTAATATATTTAAGAAAATTAAATGGTTTGGGCCATTTTTAAGTTATCTGATTATTTATGTTCCAGGGGCCAGTAAATAATCAATGGTTACTAATACCCTGTCACACTTTTGCCTTGTGTACTGTTTAATGAGAGAAGTGATTGGAATGGACGTATCTTATTGGACAGAGAATCGTTGATGAAGTGCATTCACGGGGGAGTTTCCAGAAGGTCTTATGTCATTCACAGTGGTCCTTAATTCTCCTGGCTAAATCAAAGAGTCTTGTTCCCTCAGTTTTTAAAATGTTCATAAAATTTGTGCAACAAATTTTCCCTCGAAATAGTCACGGAGTCAACATGCATCTTAAACCCACCTGAACTGTGTTTTGGTGAGTCTCAAAAACATGAGTTGTATTCTACACCTGCAAGAAAGATCTGGTCTTACAGAAAATGTTTAGTTCCATACACCATGCCAGTGATCAAAAAATAATTCAGTTATAAAAATTAACACGTGATGTGGACAACAAAACATTGTGCAAAACCAAGAATGTAGGTGTTCATGGGATAATATGCCACTAATCTCAAAAGTGGCCATTCAAAAACCATGGACACGGCTCATTGGTCACACAAAGACTAGATTGTAGGCTGGACTGTGACATCATCATTTAATATTGTGCTTAAAAAATACATTTCTAAATATATATAGTTTGCATGTTCTCTCCGTGCTGTGTGGGTTTTCTCCAGGTGCTCCGGTTTCCTCCCACAGATCAAAAACATGCATGTTAGGCTGATTGGTAACTCTAAATTATCTCTAGGTGAGAGAGTGAATGGTTGTTTGTCTCTATGTGTCCCTGTGATGGACTGGAGACCCGTCCAGGGTGTCCCCCACCCCTCGCACAGTGACTGCTGGACATGGACACCAGTGACCCCCGTGACCCAAAATGGAATAAGCGGGTAAAGATAATGGATGGATGGGTGTCACAAAACACCATTCCTGCGTGGACAACACCTAAGCTGTGATGATGTGATGCCACAAGGCCTTTGTTGAGAAGTAAATGATCAAAAAAGCTTGAACACAATACCTGGGTGTTATTAAGGTGCTCTTTGTGGAATCAAAACCGTTCTTGTGAATGTATATCTATACAAATCTAACAGCTGTGGAATCTCACTGTTAATTGCCACCTGGCTTGATTTGCTGCACTGAATTGGAAAACGACTTAAAACAAAACTCCTTAAATTGTCTAAACATCTGAATGTGGATTTGGTCATCACAGTCCAGCTTTACGCAACTTGTTTGTTCTTTGAGTGAAGCTTCTGCTGTGAAGTGTGGCTGAACTACGGTGCTCAGCCAGTAGTCGACTTTATGATCCTTTAATGAGATGAAGATTTCTTTCTTCAATTTTTATTAACAAGAATACAAAAGATATCTACATTCACATACCACTTACTGCAGTATGACTGAACACATTATTATCAAATGACCCCACTCACTTATCAAAAGACACGTCATTCCAGCTTCTAAGACCTTATGTTTTCTTTTGGTGTTTGCATCTTACACTTGTTCTTGTTTATTCTTTCAACCCCCTTTTTTAATGTCTTTTTACATTTGGCACTTAATACACATAATCAGTTTCCCTGCAGTCCACAGGATTGAAGGATAAAGCCACATTTGTGTCGCGGCATAAAAGCAACAGTTTCTCAAACGAGACAGACTGAGCCTCTCTGCTGTCAAACTCCGGCTGGCAACGGTGTGAAAAGTAAAATAAAAAAGGTAACTTGGTCAAGCGCTCGAGCCGTATGCAGAGTTTTCCACTGCGCTGCACATCTCAGGAAAGATTTCCACAGAAACAAGTTGTCAGTGAGCTCTATAAAAAGACTGAATAAAAAAAAAACCTTCCTAGTCCTGTTCTTATGAACTGCTTGTGTTTTGGGGACAAACATTGAGAAATACGAGACAAAAAGCTTGAAAATGACAAACAATTTTACAATAAACACTTTGAAGACCCACGTGGGTGTACAGCATTTTGTGTGCGTGTCATCGGAATATTGACAGAAGCTCCGCCCACACAGGCTTTAGGGGCAGTTACATCATGTATGATACAACATATAAGTAATCTGTTCAAGATTTCCTCTCACAGCTCAAAATACAGCGCTGGTTTAAAGAATCCAAATAACTTAACATAAATACAGCACGTGAAAAGGTAACTTAGGATCGAAAACACAAGAGTTGCAGCAATGGTTTCTTTCCTTTATCCTCTTGGTGTAAAACTACACTCAAACTGAAGTTGCAGTGGGGAACGTAGTCGTGCTCCTGTTTTTATCCAGCATTAATCACTTTGAACCAAAGGACTTCTGCCTGGGGCTGGTTCAGGCAGGAGGGGGTAGAGGGTGGGGGGTAAACATGTGCTTTGAAGCCGTTCCTATGCCTGGCTGTGCGAGGCTCCAAAAGTCCAGTGCGACTCGAAAGCCGGAAATTTAAAACCAGCTCATGTTGCTGCTGTGGACATGAAGGCCGTCGAGGCCTCGGCAGGATCCCAACATCAACCCATGTCGGGTACGAGCACATTCCAGGTTCGGCTTCAACTTCCCACATGAGTTTTTGTCCATTTTCTTCTCTGATTACAAAAAAGAGTTTGCTCTACCAAACCGGAGAACTGTTGGTCTCAAGCACGCCGTACATCTCTGCAAGTTTTTTAAAACGTGGCCCCCAGTCATTTAAATAGTCGTACTCGTGGTCGGTGTTCGAAGCCCCTGATTGGAGCGAGCTGAGCGACTCCGCCACCGAGCCTTCTCCTTCGTACGCATATGTCTGCAGGGAGTCGTAAGGTGGGGCGCACGGGTCCACGTCCGCCTCTAGAAGCTTGGCCAGCACATACCCATGAACGTTACTGTCCCCGCCACCACCCACGACGCACGCCTGAGGCACGTAGCGAGACAGACTCTCGATCTCTGGCATCATGTCCTGTCTCAGTTTGCCCAGTGGGTGGTGCACCTCGCGGGGGTTCCACATGGCGGCGATGTCGAAAGCCTCGGTGTCCTCCTCACCGCCGCCTTCGTCGTCGTACCGCACGATGTTTTCGTGCACGTTGTCCTCCTCGTCGCACAGGTAGGGCTTTTTACGATGCGTCCGCAGGGAGAGCATGAGCAGAATCATCACTGTTGTAAAGAGACAAAGTGAATACAGGAACTAAGTCAGTATGGAAACATACGTGTGAAAGACTCAGCCCGTTAAATGCAAACCACACGATTCAACAGAACCACCAACTTGAAGTACCAGTAGTCATTTTCTGGCTGACTTTATGGAAAATGGTAAATAGACTGCACTTATATAGCACCTTTCTATCTGATGAAGATACTCAAAGCTCTTTACGACACAAGCGGTGCCTCATTTACCTCCACACACATTCATACAGCTCTATACTAGATCTCTACAAAGATAATTGAGCAAATCATTCTAAAGAGACTGCTCAGAGCTTTATCACATTCATGCACTGACTGGACACACATCAGAGGCTACGAGGGGTTCAGTGTCTTGCTCAGGGACACTTCAACATGTGACTGCTGGTGGAATCGAACCCCAACTCTCCCAATGGTGGACAAGGACTCTAACCACTCAGCCACAGCTGCTGTATCAGTGTCTCTCACTGCTGAAAACAAAGTATGACTCACTGTTTTTCTACAACGCTGCTTCTGTTCATTGATTCGATGGTTTGCAGACATTTGTTTCTGCTCAGCTCTCATTCAGTCCCACAACAGCATTTTAGTCATTGTCTGGACTTTAACGGAACCATTGCAACACTTTGATTCTTTCCTTTTTCTGCCATTCTGTTGTTTTGGGGGATTGTTTAGTTTGTTTTGTTGCAACCAGTTTGTTCCGAGCTGTAGCTCTCAGACATACGGCCTCACATTTTAGTGTCATTAGGCTTACAGAAGAGTTCAAGGTTGGCTCGAAGGCTCAAGCTCTCATTAAAACCAGAATGACTTGATCTTAAAACAATCCAGTTTACACATCTGAACAATAATTTGTGCCTCCTGCAGGAGCAGCGGGACTCAAGCTGCCGAGCCCTCTGGCTCACAAAGTCTGCACAGGGAGATAAAATGGTTCTTTGTCGGCCTCCAGTGGGAAGATGTGACTAGAGGGCAGCTGCTGCTAATGAATACCAGATGTTTCGCCAGGGTGAGAAAAGATATTTATTCTAGTAATGATGATGTCAAGCTGGGAGATGACTCCTTTAACAACCTTTACTCACTCACTTGTTGTATTTTGACATCTCTACGGTTATTTTAAATCTGTCAACAAACAAGCAGAGGCAGAATTTTTCTAAATCAGGGCAAAGAAGAGGTCTCTTTAATAATAATAATAATAATAATAATAATAATAATAATCATCATCATCATCTTACATAAGTTATTGAAACCCTACAATAAATAATAAATGGAATTTCAAAAGGTGGACATTCATTTGGAAGTGCTGTATTTCCATTTAAATGAGTACTTTCTCACTGCAAACACATTTTTTGACTTTAAAGTAGGATTTTAAAATCGTTGTTGTTTTATTTACCACACCATATAAGGTAAAGTTTGTAAAGACGTTTAAAAGGACAGTCCTCATTTGTACCTGTGACTGGATAAATGCAGTTCTGACCTTCAGTACGAAAAACAGGAATTTATATTTGGTGTTTTTCCAGGTCTGGATGAGTTTTGGAAAAAAGTTTGGAAAATAAAATAAAAAGCAATTGTGTTTCCAGACGTTGTTCCTTTAGTCCAGGGGGGTCAAACCCACTTACAAAAGGGGGCCAAAATTAAAACCTTTTTCAAACTAAGGGCCAGTTTAAGAATCTACACTGAGTCAAGTTAGATATGCAACATGTTTTCTTGGTTGCAGGTTCCTTAGCAAAGATTTGATTGGTACATTTGAAATAACATCTTGGGGGCCAGAGAAGATGTAAAGGAGGGCCACATTTGGCCCCCGGGCCTTGAGTTTGACACATATGCTTCAGTCAATTTTACAAAGTAGGTAAATGAATAAATAACTGACATCCTAAAATAAGTATTCTAAGTGCCTTTCAAAATGTTTATATTTATATATATATATTATAAAAACTCTATATCCTAGTTTCAGCACTGATTGATTTGTGATTGTTCAACAATATGAAAAATCACTTTTGACATTAGCTCAGTTTAAAATAAAACTATTAGTGCACACTATTTTTTTTTTTTTTTTTTTTTTGCAAATACTGTATAACACTTTACAGTGAGCAGTGTCTCTGGCAGACTTTATGTTGCTTACATGAAAATATTGTGACCATAATTTAAAAAAAAGCCTTTTTTAATAACTTTTCAGTCCTTTCTCGTAAAAAACTGAAACTATCTGGTTTCTCTCTGCCCCATTACAGCAACAGGTGTGGCTCACCCAGCAGGACAAAGATGCAGGCCAGGATGGCGATGAGTGCTCCTTTGCTGAGGCTGGCAGGGAGGCTGTAGGCCTCGGCGTTGCACGACATCATGTTCCCTTCATGGTCGCAGCTGCAAACGCGAACGGTCAGAGTGCTGGTGCTGGTCTGGACTGGCTGCTCCCCGTCAGAGACAAAGATAGGCACATAGAAGGTGGTCTGGTCCTGATGCGACCAGCCGCCACGGCGGGTCAGAATCCACGCCGTGTTGTCTGAACACAGAAAGGACAGGGAAAGGCAGATCTTGCTTAAAATTGATTCTTTATTAAGTTGTTTGTGTCAACACAATTCGTTCCTTCAATTTAAGAATGTATTTATTGTTTTTTTTACATTTGAATGACTGATACAGTAGAGAGGAGTAAACAGACCTGGATGAAAATAAGAAAAAAAGTGCTCAAAGGTTTAAGGAAATAAAGATGGAACAGAATGGCTGAACAACTGTTCCTTGGAAAGAAACATTTAAAAAATTGTTCTAGATCAAACTTTTTGCTTATTACTGTAAAATCAGAGTCAAGGGAAAACAGTTACAAAGACAAAGAGCTTTTAGGTTTAAGGTCATAAAACATTTTATCACATGTGGTTTCTCTATAACATCCACACAGAAACAGATTTTCAAAAGTATGTCATTATATGTCATTTCTAAAAAATACCCTTATGAACACTGTATGGTTGCAGTAGCTATGCCAGACCAGTATGTGGTGCTATCACGCTGCCATGAAAATACATTCAAGTGAGAACAAGGTGTAATGCACGTGAGTCATGCTTGCATGCAAGGTACAAACTGTAAACACCAAACTGTCAGTGTAATGTGTATTATTTGAACTCATCATGATCAATAACGCATGTGAGAACGTTCTGCAATGTCCTTCTGCTCATGTTTGTGATGTGGGATATTAATGGTCCCATGTAGTCACTCTTACTGTGACCAGTCAGTGAGGAACAGGAAGAACTGGTTGTTTTGATATCCTCAAGGGTTGATTGATATGATATTGATATGATATTGATATGATATTGATATGATGACGTGTCTCAAGCAGAGTCCTTGACTCAGATCCACTCCTTCCTGTCTCCAGTGGACCTTCCAATGACGGCTCGGACATAGAAGGGGGGGTGTGGGGGAGCGCTGAGGGCTGGAGGTTATTCTATAAAACTAACGTGTCCGGTTCAGGGAGTGAGAGCAGGTGAGGGTTTCACATGGATGAGAGCACTGATAAGAGGGTAATCTTGTATTTGCATGTTCTGTGAGTGTTGGATTGTTCTCCAAAGCTTTGTAAATAAATGTGACTAACTAACCCTTGATCTGTTTGGGAATCTCCTTTTTCCAACAACAATTTGGCGCTGCGAGCAGGGTCCCTCAGGTGACTGTTTCAGACTCTCGGGCCAGACGTCTGATCAGCCTGGAGTCGCAAACAAACAAAAAACCTCCACGTAGGTTTGTAGAGAGACGAGGGGCTGGCTGCAGAAGCCTGAGAGCAGGTCCTTGATGCTTCCATACTGACCTTCTCCTATTCACTCGACCATATTAGACCTCCTCCTCACAGCCTTCATTCATATTTTTTTGTTTTGATTAACGTCTCTCTGTGCTGCATGCAGCTAACACTGTCTCACTGTCAGTGTTACTGACTGCTTACCTTGGTTGTCCCTCAGAGTGAAGTTTGGGTTGTTGGCGGCCTCTGGAGCTAAGCTGTAGGAGAAGTGTTGTCCCTGCAGAGGCTCATCTGGATCAGCGGCTGTCACTGTCTGGATCAGCTGGAACACAGCGGCAGCCACCGCTCATGTTATCATTTTTTTCCAAAGTACATTTTTCACTGGATCTTGAGCTCATCGGCACAGAATCCCAACAGGCTAAAGGATGTTTGCTGACAAGCTGCTGTTGTGAGGTTTTAATCATACCTGTCCTGCTTTGGCGTTTTCACAAACGTACGTCTCCAAGAAATGTGCCAGCGACGGAGGATTGTCATTCACGTCCAGGACCTTTACAGCCACAGTCACGCTCGCGATCAGCGTGGGGTTATCTGCAGGTAAACACAGATTTGATGCTTTAAGGTGCCAGCAGACACATTTCTGTTTAAAGACCCGACTGCGCTGCCTTTGTGGCTTCTTTAATCTTCCCCTCATTTACTGTGCGCCTGCAGCACATTATGGCTGCTCACATCACAATTCTATTATTCTTCATTACAGTCAGCAATTTGCATACCCTAACCAGCTGTGTAATGGGCTATAGAAACACAATTAGAGAGTAGTAAGTACTTCCTCAGGTTTCAACACATGATCAATCAATCAAGTGGTGCGACTTTAGCTCTGGAGGTCGACTCTCCAAGAGGTGAATTTATGGCTTGAGAGTGAAGAGCTTCTCATCATGCTACATCATCATTGTAGCTGATCGAGAATCAGTTTCTCCATTTCAACAAGAAACAAAACTAAAGGGGACACAATGTCAGATATAAAGGAACTGGAAAGAAGAAAAACTCTGTAATTAACAAATAAGTTAGTGTCAAAGTAGCTGGTGTAGTGGACGGTGCGCTGGATCGTTTCAGTGAAATCTGGACATTTTCACTCGCACAGGATTTTTATGACGAGTTCAGTGATGTGCACAGGACTAAAGAAGAAGTCAAGAAAGAAGCATCTTTAAAATATATCATGTTTGTTGTTTAGTTGTGTATGTGACAAACCACTGTTCCCGCCTTTTCTGGAGCGTAGTGGGGAGGAAGAGTTGCATTCGGGCCTAAAAAATCTGACCCGAGTCCGTAGACATTTTGTCTGAGTCCGACCCGACCAATTAACTGTAAGTACAGGCTTGAAGCCAATATATATATATATTTATATATATATAGATATATTATTATTATTATTTAATTAAGCTTTTACTGCTTGGTAAGCAAATCAATTTGACATATTTTAAAAACGTATTTCAATGAAAGGAAGATAAAAGATTTCTTGTTTCACCAAATGGATATTAACTTACAAAATAAATAGCCTAAAAAAACAACTCTAGAGATAGTCTATTATACAGATGAACAAAAATATTTTTAGAGCAAAAGTATTTGGAAAAATATAGAACAAAGCTATTTTAATTGATCGTGATGCTCGTGGGACCACATGCACAATTGTTGCGCAATGCGCCAGCGTTACGCTCTCTGTTCACAGTGTGATTAACTGCTGCGCTCTGATTTATTTCCTCATCCTCAACATATAAACTTACTGCCTCCTCCTCTAAGTAGATTAACACAATGTTATGTTGTGCATTTTTATTTAGTTTTATTTGTGCTCTATGATTCATAAAACCATATCAAAAGCCCAAGCCTGACCCGAGCAGAAGGAAGGTGGGTATCGATGGCAAGCCGATTGTGTCATTAATAGCTGGAGAAGATTCTCAGTCATCCAGGACATGATAGATTCAAAAAAGTTCAAGAAAAAAAACAATAAAGTATAAAATAAAGTCCAGTTGTTTTAGTCTTGAACTTTTTTGAAATTGTCATTATAGCCACGTTTACCTATTACATGATACAATGGCATGCCTTACTGCTACTACTACTCTGCTGCCATCAAGTGGCTGAAAGTGGTACTGCTTAAAAAAATTCAGTCAGAATGAATGAAAACGGTCTTATCGCAGCCAAAAAATGGTTTATAAATATGGAAAAATAAATCCATAAATATGTCACTTCGGCCTATAAGTCCCAGGGCAAAATTTATTTCTGTAAATTATACAAAAAACTGTGACTTATAGGCGGAAAATATGGTAAACTATGTTGGGGCTGGCCCTGTGATGGACTTGCGACCTGTCCAGGGTGTACCCCGCCCTTCGCACAGTGATTGCTGGACATGGGCACCAGCGACCCCCGTGACCCAAAATGGAATAAACGGGTAAAGAAAATGGATGGATGGATGTTGGGGCTGCAGTATCATAATCCTGAGATCGCAGGTTCGTCAGGAAAGGCATCCGACGTAAAACAATTGACAAAACTATCCATGAGTTCATTTGTTGTGTTGACCCCTACAGAAGGAAGCAACCAAAAGAAAACCAGGAATAAACTAAACTAGATTATACAGTATATTCCAAAACAGCAAGAAACAGCATAGTAAAGGAAGTAAAGAGGATAAAAATGTTATTGTGAAGAATTTGGGCAAATTTTGCGTTTAGCACTTTTCTTTTCTTCTTTGAATTGATTATCTTCATTTTACTCCGGATGATTTTTTCTGCATCTTCGTTTCCACTTCACACCTTCCTCTCTGTGCCCTCTTCGTCTCTTCCTCGTCTTTAATTAGCCGCCGCAGGAGAAGTTATTTAATTAGCCATTAATTCCATTACGGCCCCCTTTAAGGTGTGTCGAACAAACAAAGACACAAACACACAAACAAAGCGAATGGATTGAGGAGCAAGGTGACTTCTGCTGCAACCAGCTGTGAGATTTCTGCAGGGCATCCACGTTTCTGAAATACATGAACTGCAGGAGCCGCTTTGTCAAATCACTGCTTCTGCATTTCTATAAACCAACTGCATACACATCCTGTAATAAACTCATAGAAGAAACTTGAATTTTATCAAGCGATTTACGTTTAAATAGATCTCAAAGTGGACTAATCCTCAAGGGAAAAGCAGTCTTTGTTTATTCCCACTTTATTCATTGAAGCTTGTCTTTAGGTAAAACACTTACTCATCTCCATGGCCAGGACTGTGATGTTGTGCCAACCGATCTCCTCCCGGTCCAGCGAACGCACCGTCATCAGCGAGCCAGAAGTGATTTCAATGTAAAAGAATTTGTCTGGGTCGCTGGACCTCTCGATGGAGTACCTGGTGACACAAGGTGACACAACCGTGTGAGCTCAGGGCTGAATAAAGTGCGCTTTCTGAGTGTAATCCTTTCTGAGGGCCATGCACGCACACGTTTCCAATCCAGCGTGTGCATGCCATGTGTGTGTCTGTGCGATAAGACGTCAGGTTGGCAGCACCTGAAGACTCGGTAAGAAGATCCTGATACGAGGCCTGATCAGAGGATCTGCCTCTTCTGCCAAACAGACGTCAGGCACAAACAAACAGAGCGTCGTGTTGGAGCGTCTCCTGTCGACATGGGCCGCTTTCCAAAACACCCCTCTGAGAGAGACGTGCTACACAACCAGCCGTGCACAAGAAGGAGGAGGATGTTGATGTGTCAAATTACTGACAACACGAAAAGAATCAGCTTGAACAGGAAGCTCATTATTAAAGGCCTAGTGCTGCTTAAGGCACATCTGCAAGAATTTTTAACAGATGTGATTTTATGATGAAAAATTACAGCATTTATTTTGGTCAAATGTATAAGATTATGCTCAATCTCATGCGATATTACAAGATCCCACGCAGTTTCTTAGCGCTTGCAGAACGTATTGAGGATGACCCTCAGTTACTACCACATCAAAATGTAGCCCATTATGTCTAAAATTGCTCAGGTTATATCCATCTTTGTATTAGTTGAGGTCAGTTGACTGTAGTGGATAACTTCAATGAAACAACCCTATTGTTTTCTGAAATATTTTGCTAACAGGTAAACAGGTTTGAGTCTAATGTTCATGAGAAGGTTTTAAGCTAAAAATCTTGAGCAATGTGTGGCACAGAGCACGTGATGGGGAGGACTCTCAGCTATTACAACACAACATTTAAGCTTATCTGAAAGGCAGACTGAGTTACAGCCATCTTTATGATTGCTAATGCTAGCTTGCTGCTGTTGCCATTTTAAAATAGACTGACTGCAAAGTTGTATCAGTTGTAGAAGCGTGTCCAGTGATGACTTTCTGACAATTACATTAAAATCTGTTCAATAGTTCATGAGATATTTTGCCAACAGACAAGCTGAGTTGACCCCAGTAGTCAATGGTGCATGTTAAAGCAAATACCTCACGCAGGATGTAGATGACTCTCAGCTGTTAGTGCACTACATTCTACTTCAGCATCTGTAAAACAGACTGTGCTGTAGCTATTCATTGTGTTTGCTCAGGCTGGTTAACTGTGTAGGTGTCTTGAATTGAGTTAACTCCTAAAGTTGATTATATGTAGATTTAACTCTAATGGCTACTTCCTGAGCACTTTATTAAAATCCATCCAGTGGTTCATGATACGTATATTTGCTAACAGACAGAGAGGCAAAAATAATGACGTTCCTTTTAAGCATATTTAACTTTGTTTGCTTCCAGATGGAGGATGATGATGGTAAATAAAAGAGGGTGGGGCTGTTTGCTACAAAATCCATCCATCCATCCATCCATCCATTTTCTTCCGCTTATCCGGGGTCGGGTCACGGGGGTAGCAGCCTAAGTAGGGAGGCCCAGACTTCCCTCTCCCCAGCCACTTGGACCAGCTCTTCCGGGGGAATCCCGAGGCGTTCCCAGGCCAGCCGAGAAACATAGTCCCTCCAGCGTGTCCTGGGTCTTCCTCTGGGCCTCCTTCCGGTGGGACGTGTCCGGAACACCTCACCAGGGAGGCGTCCAGGAGGCATCCTAACCAGATGCCCAAGCCACCTCAACTGGCTCCTCTCGACGTGGAGAAGCAGCGGCTCTACTCTGAGTCCCTCCCGGATGACCGAGTTTCTCACCCTGTCTCTAAGGGAGAGCTCAGACATCCTACAGAGAAAACTTATTTCGGCTGCTTGTATCCAAGATCTCATTCTTTCGGTCACAACCCAAAGCTCGTGACCATAGTTGAGGGTAGGACCTCCTCCCTGACCCAGAGAGGGCACTCTACCCTTTTGCGGCTCAAGACCATGGCCTCGGATTTGGAGGAACTGATCTCCATCCCGGCCTTGTCGCTTTCGGCTGCGAACCGCTCCAGTGAAAGCTGTAGATCACGAGCTGATGAAGCCAATAAGACCACATCATCTGCAAAAAGCAGAGACGCAATCCTAAGGCCACCAAAACGGATCCCCTCAACACCTTGGCTGCGCCTAGAAATTCTGTCCATAAAAGTTATGAACAGAATCGGTGACAAAGGGCAACCTTGGCGGAGTCCAACTCTCACTGGGAACAAGCCCGACACTGCCGGCAATGCGGACCAGGCTCTGACACCGGTCATACAGGGACCTAACAGCCCGTATCAAAGGGCCCGGTACCCCATACTCCCAGAGTACCCCCCACAGGGTTCCCCGAGGGACGCGGTCGAACGCCTTCTCCAGAATCATGCTACAGAATCATGTTTTCATATCTTTTGGAGTTATAATAAGAACAAACATTTTCCTGCTTTTATGTCTTATTTTGACAAAAAGTTAACCAAGCTACTGGAGCAGGGCTATCCATCTGGTGGCCCAGGGGCCAAATCAGGCACACGTGCTCCGTTCAGCCCACCAGTGGGTTCCTTTTTTAAATAAAACTAGATTTTAAATTGTAAAACAAACTCACTTAATAAGTGCTGGATGTCTGGCCCCTGAGCTCTTGGCTTTCAGTAACCGTGGCCCTGGTCTAGAGCCATACGCTGGTAAAACTGTTAGCGTCATTAGCATTAGCAGCTAATGCTCGTAGTGTCAGTTTAATCCTTCTGCAATAGGAAAAGATGAACGTTGTTCACTGAAATCCTACAGAAAATTTAGAACGATCACAGCTAGATGAACACAAAGAGGCAACAGCTCTTAAACGTGTGTAAGAGTCCGTGGGCTTGTTAGCCACACAGAGAACGTCGTGACTGGCTGGAGGTTCTCCCACAGGGTCTCTGTTAATATTAGTGTGACTCTGTCATGAGGAGGGGGAGATGCCGCAAGTGAAAGAAACGGTGGGTTTTCACATACAACCGTGTTGCAGACAGTACAAGACAGAGACGGGAACTGGAAACGAGGGCGATGGAGGAACTGAAGGTCAGTGCTTGTTGTTATCTGTCATCTGTTGTGGTGACTACCTGCTGCTCACATCCTCAGATGTCTGGAACTCCACAGATCACAGAGCCGCTTATTATTTATTTTAATGTTCATTAGATTTATCTAAGACAAATATTAAAGCAGTTGTACATGATATAAAATAATTTTTTGACAGGATGCAGGGGATGTTCACTGATTTATTTAGGCTGTCACCAGGAATCAGCATCCCCAGACGTCCACCCTCTCCTGCTCCTGTCCTCGATGGTTCTTCCAGCAGGTGCTGAGTCCATGAGGAGGTGGCTTCCTGTCATTTCTTTGGCCTTAGGAGCCAAGGCTCGACCACCTCCGCTGAGGTACTTCTCATTTTCTGGAGATTTTTCTAGGCGTGTCTCTTTGGTAGGAGCTCCCTGGGCCGACCACCTCACTGTGGGGGCACTGATCCCTGCTGTCTCTCAATGTGGGACCCATAGTTTGGTTGTAAAGACTTCAACGCCAAACTCTGTTGTCCATAATAAAAGAAACAACCTAGTGCAGACATCACCTGTCTCTCTTGACATGATCTGAGAAAGTCTTACCAAGGCCGGGACTCAAACCTGATGCTGGTTCAGCAAAGTGTCTCTGAGACATAGAAACAGGAAATAATGATTTGGCTTTTTTCAGCCTCTTACATGTTACATCCATATTAGATTAGTTTAAACCACGTGAAAACATTCTTATACCGTGCTTATATTAAACATAAAGAGTCAACGATCCATGAAAACAGGGAGGTGGTAAAGAAGTAGAGAGTCCAGGCAGGATGGAGAAGACGGAGACAAGTTTCAGGAGTGATTTGTGACAAAAGGGTGTCAGTAACGGTCAAAGGAAAAGTTTACAAGACGAAAAGGAGATATATGGATGCAGTTAGAGAGGACATGGAGGTGGTTGGAGTGAGGACAGAGTGAGGACAGAGTGAGGACAGAGGACACTGGAGGAGGATGACTCGCTGTGGAGACCCCTGGAGAGGGACGGCTAAAAAACAAAAACTCATAAAATTGTCATTGATTAATTCTCTAAACTGTATTCAAAAACTGCTTTCAGATTAAATTTTAAATAAAATGATTTAAAAGTTAAATATTTTAAAAACTCATTTATGCAAGCTTTTACAATTTATTCGAAATAAGTTATTATTACTCAGAAATAAAACCATTCTGTCTGATATGTACATATTTTTGATTACTTTTTTTAAAAGAAAAATTCCTCATGTAAATAAATAAATTAATCTATTATGCAGCTGTAGCACGTGCACATGTGTTATGGAGGAATAGTTTGTTTCCTGCTTGAAGTTTATTAGGATGCTGCCCTCTGCTGGTCAGGAGGCAACAACACACCTGCATTTTTTCAAATCATTTCCTCTCATACACATTTTGTCATAATTATTTTCTGTAAACTAAATATTAGTGAGATTTCATTATTTTTTTTAGCATTTTTCAGATAAAAGAAACAACTGGAACCCATCCTCTGCCCGTGCTTTGTAATATAAAGGAAACTGAGCAACATCAAATCATTTTAATTTCCTGTTTGCTTGTTTGTATTCACCGTCTCCATAAAGTTTCTGAAATCCAGTTCGCTGTATCTTGCAGAGTATTAAAAAAACAACCAAGTTTCTGTACTTTTATACCAAAATTCAGTTGGATGTGTTTGAAAACAGATATTCAGATAATAAGAGACAACTAAATTGTTTCTTTTAGGGAAGAAATGAATGGAACAAATGTAAAGTTCTTCAAACAGCCTTCAGTATTCTGACTGTAAAAGTCAAAGTTTAAAAACACATTGGGCCTGTTTTTTCTTCTCACCTCACAGTGTTGTTGGCAAAGTCTGGATCCCGGGCCGACACCGTCCGCACCACCGTTCCTTTCTCCGCGTCTTCGGGAAGCTCGACGTAGTACGATGACGAGTCGAACAGTGGGGGCTCGTCCACGTCCTCCACACTCACATGGACGATGGTGACGTCTTTAAAGGGCCCGCGGTGGCGGTAGCTCGGGTCCAGGTGGGTGTTGGCTCCCTCCACCTTCAGGGTGTAGCTAGGCTTGTTCTCAAAGTTTAACGGCTGGTCAAGACATACAAACAGTTTTAAAATCACTTTAAAGTTGCAAAACTCAACTCAAATGTTCAAATCTTACTCAATAAAAAAGGGTTTTGGGTTTGCAGCTTTTGTGTGATGAAGTACGGAGGGTCAAAAGTGCCCTATTCTAATAAAATAGGTCATTAATTACTGCACGTTTTGTGTTAAAATTTGAAATAAACACCTAAATCACATAAAAATATGTACTTACATAAATGTGTCACCACTTAAAAATGTTTTTTAATCAAAAGCCTAAATATTTATATAACAATTTAAAGTAACAAATTGATGCAAACATTTTTAAATAAAACTGAGAACATTAGTGCCAATTTTTAATAAGTCATGACTTTTTTTAATTTGTGAATTAATTTACAAACTCAATAAATGAATTATCCATTTCAGTCGTTCTTGTTATTGAAATCTGTTCATTTAAAATCTCTATTTCTAGTTTTAATAATGTTTTAGAAGAATACCTTGATATAGAACAAAATATGCCATGCACTATTTAAGACAACAAACTTTATGGTTTTGATGTGAAATAATTAAAAGGCCAAAAATTAGTTCAGTAAAAATACACATCACAATTAGACTTTTGATTTAAAATTGTTTAAAGAAATCACAATATTTCCCATTTTAATTGGCACATCTGTTTTTATAATTTCATGTACGTAAAGACAAGTGGCATTTTTGACCCGCCATACAATTAGTGTTATGAAGAGTTAATATTTATAAAAGTAAAAAAAAAACTTTTAATGAACACTTGAACATATGTACTAAAACGTGATGTGTAAAAAAAAAAAGTTATTTAGTTTTTTATTTTAATTTTTACCCTTTTCACTGTGATGATGCCAAAGAGGTTGGTGGGGTCGGTGCTGATGTCGAAGGTGTCCCTCCCATCTCCATCTATGATGCTGTACTTCATCTCAGCGTTGACCCCGATGTCTCTGTCCTTGGCCCAGATCCGGCCCACCACGGAGCCTACGGGAGCTGACTCAGGCACGCTCATCTGATACAGCCCTGAGCACGAAAACATTCAAAACTGATTCACTCCTCTAGAGGGAAGCAAACCCCTTCATGTAATCACATCAGCTGCTCACAGCTCCAAGTCCCTCATCAGGCATGATCAAATAAATGCCTCTACAAACGCCTCACAATTGGGTTATACGCCGCCTCGTGGGCCGGCTCGCACCTCATCAACCATTTAACCTCAAAAAGGAGGTGACAGCTGCCCAATCTGTGGCTTTTCCCAGTTTATTGTGAAATGCCTGCTCGATACAGGAGAATCCCTGATCGCAACCAATCGAATTTCCCTCAGAGTGATGGTGCTAATTGGTGAGGGACTGGTGATGGAGGCGGAAATGGACAGCAAGTGTTTTCTTTGTCAAGGAACTGAAGCCACCAGTTGACTCCAGACAGAGGGGACAACCGCTGAACTCAGGAGGTTTATAAGGAGACAAGAAGTGGATTATAAAAGACACATTATGGTGTATTTGGTGGCTGACAGGAAGAGGAAGAGCTGAAGGTGAAGAACTGATGGCCAGATGTGGGCAGAGGGACACACAACCTGCATGCTCTTAGGAAGTAGAGATGAATAGTTTGTGTGAATATAATGAGCCACCGTTACAGAAACACTGCAGCTAAAGTCCTGACCTGGCTCCTCCATAGCTACAAGACATACGAGTCAACTACTGACTCCAGGTCAAAGCAGAGTCTTTGAATTTTAATTAAAGCAAATAATAATAATAATAATAAAGTTCATTTCATGCTCTGAGTGAGGAGTTTGTGGTGCGTACAGGCCACACAGTCTTTACGTCCAACTGGAGAATTTACAACACAGTAAGATCAGACACAGGGTGCAGTTCTGGGGGAGCTCGAGCTTCTTTTGATGACGTAATCCTAATGAGATTAACAAAGTCAAGGAAAAGGAGGCAGGAATGAGATTCATAGTTTCTGTCAGCAGCCAGCAACATAATGTGTTCAAGGGCCGGAGTTATTCTAATCACAATATCTGTGAGGGACACATAGGATGTTCAAATTATATGAAGTACTACTACTGCCACCACTACTACTAAAATTACTACTACCACCACTGTTACTACTATTACTGGTACTACTACCACCAATACTACTATTACTGGTACTACTACCACCAATACTACTATTACTGGTACTACTACCACCAATACTCCTATTACTGGTACTACTACACCAGCCAAATTAAAAATTAGATCACATAAGTTCTACTAATACCACAACTATACTATACTATACTATACTATACTATACTATACTATACTATACTATACTATACTATACTATACTATACTATACTATACTGCACTATACTATACTATACTATACTATACTATACTATACTACACTGCACTGCACTGCACTGCACTACACTGCACTGCACTGCACTGCACTGCATTATACTACACTATATTATACTTATTTATTTATTCCCTTATGTATTCCTTTAATTAATAATCACGTCTTAGATCCGCTTAATTTGTCTCTAATAAACGACTACGTACCACAAAGCTTTAAGATTGCTGTAATTAAACCTTTACTTAAGAAGCATAACCCCGTCTCAGGAATCCTAGCCAACTATAGACCTATATCTAATCTAACTTTCATCTCAAAAGTTCTAGAGAAAATATTTGCAGGTCAGCTGCGTGATCATCTGCAAAAAATAATCTGTTTGAAGAGTTTCAGTCAGGGTTTAGAGCTAATCTTAGCACAAATCTGGACTGGTGAAAGTTACCAATGATATTCTCATGGCCTCTGACAATGGACTTGTGTCTATGCTGGTCCTGTTAGACCTCAGTGCTGCATTTGATACAGTTGATCATAATATTTTATTATAGAGACTTGAAATGATATTGAAATTACAGGAACAGCTCTAAATTGGTTTAATTAAAACTGATAGACTCCAGTTTGTAAATGTAAATAATGAATCTTCATCATACACCAAAGTTAGTCATAGAGTTCCTCAAGGTTCAGTGCTTGGACCAATACTCTTTACCTTATATATAATATGCTTCCATTAGGTAAAGTTATTAAACAGCATGGGATAAATGTTCATTGTTATGCTGATGACACACAATTATATTTGTCCATTAAACCCAATGAATCCAATCAGCTACTTAGACTACAAGCATGTCTTAAAGACATAAAAACCTGGATGACCCTTAATTTTCTCCTGTTGAACACAGACAAGACTGAGGTTTTGGTTTTTGGACCTGAGCACCTTAGGAATGAATTTTTCAGTCTTTCTCCCTCCTTAGATGCATTAATCTGTCCTCCAGCTCTAATGTTAAAAATCTTGGTGTTATTTTTGATCAGGACGTGTCTTTTATCCCCCACATTAAAAACGTTACTAGAACCTCCTTCTTCCACCTGCGTAATATCACTAACATTAGAAACATCTGATCTAAAGATGATGCAGAAAAACTGGTCCATGCATTTGCACGAGAGTTCTGTGATGGAATTAAATTCAAAGCAGTCTGCTCCTCAGATAAATAATGTTAAATTATTATTTTAATAGAGAAATGTTTCTGTTCAGTGCCTGAGACAACTTCTGTTTTGACTTGGCACTATATAAATAAACTGAATTGAATTGAAACTGACTATACTACACTACACTACACTACACTATACTATACTATACTATACTATACTATACTATACTATACTATACTATACTATACTATACTATTCTATACTATACTATTCTATACTATACTACTATTATTAATAATTATACTACCACCATTATCATCACTACTACTACTTCTCTTTTATTATAAACAGTACACTTTGAAAGCTTTTATTTTTCGTTTCAAGTATATATATATATTTTTTTAAGTTGATATTGTTTTATATGGAGCCCCGGAGGGGACGTGGGGGATTTTTTTCATTTGCATTCCCACACAAAAGTTTTTGCGTTCCCTCGCAATACTGTACTGTGTGTAGTGTTACCTCAAAAACAGCAACAATGGAACAGACACCCATATTTAAGGTTCATGGAGTTTGTGACTTGGCGCTATATAAATAAACTGAATTGAATTGAATTTTGAAATCAGCCTTAAGTGGAAGGATATCCAGTGTGTGCTGCAGTGGTAAAATAAATTTTACGTTGGATATTTCACGTTCATGCTCCGTGGATCCAGCGGTGGCTTCCTCGTTCGAGCCGATGCAGTCAGTCTGATTTCCTTCAGCTGCTCGTCCCTCCTCCAAGGAATGATGGTTTTCTTAGGGACCGTCAACAAATTACCATATTTTCAGAGTATTTGTCAAAGCAGCACCATGTATCATAACTAAAGTTTTCTCAGTATATTTCTGTATGGTAATAAATCATGATTTTTCTCACCATTTAAAATCCAAAAGAACAAGTTGTACTTGTGTTTCAAAAGTACTGTAACTTTCTTTTAAAGCATCAGAGATCATGCTCAATCATCCACATACAAAATACTATAATGGTCAGTCAGGTCATCTGGACAGTTTCTTATTTATGGAAAGATGTTTTACCCTCTATTCGGAGGGCTTCATCGGTTGCCAGCAAAACCAGCAAACTGGTTGTTCCACTAAAGGAGAGTACTGCTTAGTGGGGAAAACAGCTTTCATGGGACTCCTCAGACTGATGAAGCCCTACGGATGTGTGTGCTTAGTGTAGTTTAACGTTTTTCTTAGTTCATATCTTAGATCTCATTACTGTTTTTCTTTTACATTTTAATACTTTTGTTGGATGTAACTGGAACCCTGTGTACATAACTTAATTCCACCACATGTACCACATATGGGCGAATGACAAATAAAGAACCTTAAATGAACTCTGATGCTTTAAAAGAAAGTTACAGTACTTTTAAAATGCAAGTGCCACCTTGTTCTGTTGGATTTTAAATGGTGAGAAAATTCACAATTCCATTGTTGCTGCTGTCTGTGAGAACAAAAAAGGTTAAATCATTTCATCTGGACCAGTTTCTTTGAGGGAGGAACGTTTGTTGTCTGAGAGGTAACACTACATACAGTACAGTATTGAGAGGGAACACAAAAACTTTTGCATGGGAACGCAAAAAAAACCAAAAATCCCCACGTCCTCCAGGGCTCAGTATTTTTATGTGAAAACTTGGTTGTTGATTTTTTTTTTATTTGACTCAGTCCTTTTGAATGTTGATTTTGAAAAAACTGTTTCGCCCTAAGGAATATATATTATCCTCCTGTTCTGCATTTGGTAGGTCAACTAAAAAGTAAAGTAAAAGTAAAGTAGTATGTATTGTCATCATTGTATGTTTCCGTTTTTTGGTTTTTTTTATACGTGAGATACTCGCAGGTGGAGCAGTGGGCAGCCATGTAAATGTTATGTAACTGTAACTTAAGTGTACATTTTAATGTTTACTACATGTACTGATAACTTTTGAACACTTTTCATTCCTTCAACTTTTCTTGTCAACAATCTGTCTAAAAACAGTTTTTAGTTGTTTCCTACTAAAATATATATATATATATATATTTTTCAACAGAAGAGACGAGACACAAAAGCGAAAGATTTCATTACTCTGGTCAAACATCGGTGGGTTGTCGTTGACGTCACTGAGCATGATGTTGACAGTGGTCGTGCCGGCCAGCCCCCCCAGCTGTCCACCCATGTCTTTAGCCTGGATGACCACGGTGTAGTTTTCCCTGGTCTCTCTGTCCATATCAGCCAAAGACACACGGATCACACCTGAGGAGAGACACCAGGAAAGAGGAGCAGTTAGGAGACCGATGGCATGGGGAGTTACAGGTCAGAGACAGAGGATGCTGACACAGATTAGGGTCATGTGTCTGAGTGACCGTCTCCTGGAACGTTGGTTAAAAACTCACCGATGAGTCATTTAGTCTTAAAGAAGATCCCTAACTCAAGGGATGAACCTGTTGCGTCAACAACGAACAGGCAGCCGAGTAAACGCTCAGCTTTTAGCATCGTGTCACAAAAACATCATTAGTTCTTCTCATCAATTAAATTTGTGGAAACTATCAAAGAAAATACAGTTTGACAAACAAAACAGTATTCTTGCTCTAACATGGCCATCTCAATAAACTTCACTGAAATCGCTCTTTTTTTTTTTGCTTACAAGTACAAAATTAAAAAAAAATAAAAAAAAACCTAAGCTGAATTGTTATGAAAATGGTCTTCATTTTTTTTATATTTTAGAGCCTGTATTGTAGTAGACTGGATTTATGCTCAGACTGTAAAGTATCATTGTTCATATTTCCACTGCTGAAAACACCCTCTACCACAGAAAACTTTCAATATTGTACATTAACAACAACAGCTCTAATCCACTGCATGCACCTGACCTTGACCCCGCGACTTGACTAAATTCATCATGTTGCTCTTCTTTTCTCTGATCACACTTTTAATAACAGCAGCCAATTATCAATAACATCCATAAAGGAGCACAAGTAATGTGTCACACTTTAGTTTAAGTTAACAGATGCTTTGTACTGCACCTGGAACACTGAGTCAAACATTTGATCTTGTGCTGACTCTATAAAAGGTTAATTCTGTGCTTATGGTGAGATCAAGGAGGCTGGCTGGTAGTTTAGTTAACGAGCAGCCTAATGGGAATTATGAAGGCCAATCTACATGTTTGTATAACTGTAACTTTAATTTTTTTAACCTTCAAATCATTAAACAAAAATTTATTGTGTGAATGTTCATGAAGCATTCACTCTATTGTGATCCATTTCTATTCCGTGCACATTTCAGCATCTTTCTCGTTCCACAATTTTTGTGCTATTTCAACAAATCATAAATCAAAACGTTCAGCTCTTTTAGTACAATCCTGCTATGACTTTTAGTATTGGTGCATTTTTAGCTTTTTGAAATATTTGGCCTTTTCTGCCATTTTTGTCTTGTAGAAACTGAATTGGAGCTCATTTTACATCCTTCAAATCTTTAGATCTGTTTACAACATTTTACTGCTCCTTTCACATGTTATTCTGCTTCAGCTTCTTTCAGCTTCCTTGTGTAAACTTAAATCTTTTGCAGCTACTTTCACCTAATTTCAGCTGTTTTGTGCTCCTTTCGGATTATTTCTAACTAAAACATTTTTGTGCCTTTTCTAATTTCTTTCATCTAATTTAAGCTTGTTACCTCCTTTCAGCTTATTTCTGCAAGTTTCAGCTTTTTCTGCTATTTCAGCTACAATTTAGCAGTTTTATGCTAATTTAAGCTTTTTCAGCTAATTCAACATTTTTTTGCACTCATTTCAACTAGGGGTGCACCGATGCCCTGATTTCCTTAATTTTGGGAAATCGGCCCAATATGAGAAACCGATTTTACCGATTTTTTTAGTTTTAACAACAATTGACTGAACTTCATTTATATTTCAGAGCAACTACCTCATGGCCAGTTAAAACAAGTTTGCATTGTTTCTAGTATAGTGTTCAAGGGTATGTTCTTCAGTAAAATAATATTGGAAAGTTGAAGGTGCATTGCGACCTTATAACACCTGACAGTGTCACTTATTAAATAAAATCAGTATCGGCAGCTCAGACTCTTTATAAATCTGTGATCGGCCAGAAAACTACAATCGGTGCAGCCCTAATTTAAACTTTCTTCAGCCTAATTCAGCAGAAATGTGCTCTCTCCACTTCCTTCTAGTAATTTCAACTTATTTATGAATTTTTAGCTACTTTTCAGCTGTTTATTGCTAATTTAATCTTATTTCAGATAATTTCCACTTTTTTGTGCTCATTTCTGTTTCTTTCAGCCTAAAAGGGACAACATGTTATTTCTGCAAATAAGCCTAAATAATACAGATATGTTCTGACAAAGGAACGTATATAAAATATCGGTATCAGCATCAGTTATCGGCCGAATAAGTTTTAACATATCGGTATAGCGGATAAAATCCAATATTGTGCATCTCTAGTAATTTGTTACTTTCAGCCTAATTAACTTCTTTCTGCTAATTTCAGCGTGTTATGCTTCATTCAGCTGTTTTCAGCTAGTTTCAGTTTTTTCTGCTGTTGCAGCTACTATTTAGCTGTTTTTATGCTAATTTTAGCCTTTTCAGCCAATTTCCCCCCTTTTTTAAGCTCATTTCAGCTCTTTTCTCTTCCTTCTGGTAGTTTAAGCTTCTTTCTGCCTTTTCAAATTTTTTTTTGTTGTTGCTAATTTCAGCTTTTTTAGTTAATTTCCTATTTTTTGTGCTCATTCCTGCTAATTTATAACTAATTCAGCTCCCCAAAAAAGTGTTCTTTGCTTTCTTCTGCTAATTACTGTAAGGGTTGTTGTGTCATTTCATTTCAGCTTGGTTTTTTTTAGCTAATTTCATGTGTTTTTCAACAAGTTCTTCAGCAATAAGCATTCACACTGCATTTTCACAGGAAATGCAATTCCTCTAATTTATTTCCGTTTGTTTTCTGCTCATCGCAGGTAAATTTCCATTCTGGAGACTCATTTAAATCGGCTTAACATGTTTTGTTTTTTCCTGACTGACTCTGGTTCTCACCATTTCCTAAAATTTTAAAGTGTTTAGAAAACACGTGTCTATGCTGCTACTGCACAGACACTCTGTCAGTCTTCAAATGTTGTTAACGCTGGTTGTTACATTGGAGTAAAGTAGCATGATGAATCAAACTAAAACAGCAAAATTGTCTTGCATTGTTAAAAATCAGTATTTTCATTGCTGAGAATATGTATCTTTGTAACAGAGCGTCTCACTGTTACATAAATTACTGCAGATCAGATTTTATTTTGCTAAAAAGGATTGAAGATTAAATCAAACCAAGCCGGGTTTGTTTAAAATAACACAAAGAAAGTAATATTTAATTTTTAAACAGGATGTTTTTCCAAGCAACCGCCCGTCAAACTACAAGCCTGTCCTCGTTATCTGCAGAAGTCACTCTTTGAGCTTAGCACATCTTTTTTTGTCAAGAGTTTTGGTTTATTGTAAGTTACAACAAAAGAGCTCCACGTTTCAGAAAAGTGTTGAGTAGTTTCGTAGCAACAACAGACGCCCTGCTGAGCTCGCCACTCTTCGAGCTGGTTTGTATACACAGGGGCATGAAGTGTGCACGGCTAAAAACCAGACTGGAGCAATTACAGCGTTTGGAAAGAGATTCACAGAAGCTGTCAAAGAACAGTTAGTCGTGAGAAGGTGTGTTGACTTTACCAGCGCATCGAACTTATTTTATGTCTACACAAACTCATTTAGAAAAAAATGAATTAGTTATTGTTAAAAAAAAAACTCAGTTTTTGTTCAATATGATGTTGCACAGTTTGTGTGATTTCGTCACAAAGTAAATACATTTACAAATAAATACCAATAAATATGATAAATTAAACTTTAAACATGTTTGTCAATAGAGTTTTTTTTTTTTTTTTGAAAGCGTAAACTAAAGATTCAAATGGACGGCTTTAAAAGTGGTTCCTAAAATTCTTCTGGCTCCAATAGTTTCTAAAAGTCAAATGGGGGCGGAGCTTACAGTCCTTTCTTGTTGAACCAACTTCCACTTTCTGCTCCTGAGGCTAAAATTAATTTAAAGACCAGGCTTCAGACTTTCCTTTTTGATCAATCCTATAGTTAGGGTTAGCTTGGGTTTCTTGAGATATCCCTTAGTTATTATGCTATAGGCTTAGACTAATGGAGATAATCTGATCCTATTTTCTAACTGCTGTTATTCACTCAACTTCCATGTTTATCTTAAATGTAATTATTAACCTGTTTTTCTTTGTCTTCACATAGAAACCACACCTGAACCAGTCAATGTGTGTCTGCCTCTTTCCTGTTACCCCATCCAGTCGAGACAGAAGGCTGCCCATCAGATCCTAGATCTGCTGGAGGATTCTTCGTTGCAGAAGGGAGTTGTTCCTTCCCACTGTTGCCAATGAGCTGCTCAGGATGGGAGATTGTGACACAACCTGCTGACTTCCTTAGACAGAAAACTTTTACTAAATTACATTTAATGTTATATTTTATGTGAATATTTTGTATGAAAAAAGGTTTAATTACCTGTAACCAAATTTGAATCTGGAGCTAAATTGGATTTATGATGTAGACTTGTTTTTTTTTCTTTTGTATAGTGCCCTGAGATTATTTTTATTGATGCTATATAAATGAATAGAATTGAAGAGGGTTCACTTGTTTTTTGTGAATGTTAGGGAATTTTTGGTCAAAGGTTATGTATGTTTTTATTACTATGGATGAGAATCTTAACTCTGCCCATGAACCATATGTTGGGTTAGCAGAGAGCTGGATGAGGAGCTGGGTGCAGCCGGCTCCAAGGACACCTGCAGGTTCTGTGAACTGATCTGATCAGGGTATAAAAACAAGCTGAGGGGGCGGCTCGGGGCACGTTCTTCATGTGTGTGATGAATATTTATGTAACCTGTCCTGAAAATCTGACCTTACAAGTAAATACTGGTTTAAAACCATCTCCTGCCTTCGGTGCATTGTTCTTTTTGAGTATGTAAGATAAAGCGAGATTATTTTTCTCTAACAGTGAACATCCATCTCCAGACATACAGCAGAAACATGCACTTTAACACATTTTCTGTGCTCAAAATTACACTTCCCTATTTGACAATGACCACACCGATGAGCTAATGGCTAGTCTGAGACCAAAGTTGAGTGATACTTTTTAAAAATCAGCAGATTGACACTAAACAACCTCTGACTGGTCATTTTGACGTGCGCAGAGCTACTTGTCCAATCAGTTTGAGGTCTAAAGGCACTAAAAGCATTTTCATTTTTAGGTTTACATTTTCAAAGTGACACACAATAAATTGACTTCGGAGCACTGAGTTTTACTAATACTTTGTCTTGTTTGTATCTATAACCAGATGTTCACAAAAAAAAAATCTACATTCATTTACACATTTTTCTGTCATTTCGGGTTTTTTTTACAACTACAGATATTTTCTTCTCGTCCACAAACTTGAATTTTTTCAGGCAAATTTATTTCTCAAGGGGACAAAGCTCAAAATACAGCTTGCAACTCTAGAAGTGATGGATAAGCATTAATTTACAAGCTAAAAACCTGGATAACCATCAGTTAAATAACCATTCATGACCATTATTGGGGTATGACATTTTTCCTCTCCAGTTTCAGCATATGGAGAATAAAAGCTCTGATTGTTGTGTCTACAAACTGAATGAGTTGTGGGAAGCTGTACCAGTTTTGGCGTCCACTGAGAAGTATGGCTGACCCTCCAGGATGCTGTAGAGCACACGAGCGCTGTTGCCATATGTTGGGTCGTCGGCATCTGTCGCAGTCACCTGGATCACCGACATTCCTGAGTGAACACAGAGACAAAGGTGAAAAGGAGGCAGTGCCAAACAGATAACTGTGAGTATTTTCCATGTTTGGCCAGAGTTTTCAAAAGATAATTAACTTCAAAAGTAGTTTTCATTGGCAAAGTCTGAAAAAGATGTAAATGATTATGCAGATATCGCTAAATGTCAACATAAATGCACAATAAATTATTTCCAGTGTATTTTACTTTCTTTTTTTTATTACCTATTCTGGACATTTCTAGCACAGATGCCTGGTAGGGACCATCTAGGAACTTTGGCTCGTTGTCGTTGATGTCCTGGATCTTAACGATGAACTCGGATTCAGGCTCAAGAGGCCTGTCTGTCAAGCGGTTGCGGGCCTGGGCACGCAGGACGTATTGCGCCTTGACCTCCCGGTCCAGTCTCTGGATGGCGTGTATGTCCCCGGTGCTGTCATCTATGGTGAAGGTCGTGCCTGCCCCCTCGCCCGTCAGGATGTACTTAATGGAGCCGTCACCTTTGTCCATGTCTGAGTGGAGCTGTAAGAGCCCGGTGAGATTTTATTAGTCTTAAAATACATTTTTAAAACATCTAAGAGGTCCATAAAAGCCTAAATTTAGTCTAAAGTTTAAAGGTTTGTGAATATTTGAAGTGTAGCAGTAGAGGTTGGAAAGATGCTTGTGTTCAGCAACAATTAGGAAAAATAAAGAAGTATCCACTTGAAACATGTACTACAACATTCATCCATCCATCCATCCATACATCCATCATCTTTTACCCATTTTTGCTTTTCGGGCCACGGGGGTCACTGGTGCCCATGTCCAGCAGTCACTGTGCAAGAGGCAGGGGACACTCTGGACAGGTCTCCAGTCCATCACAAGCAGAGCTGTAATTTCTAAGCAGAACTCGGAGCCTAGCCCTGCCCGACCCGGATTAGGGCCGGGACAGCCCATAATAAAGTTCTTAATGTGCGGGCCGGGTCGGTGTCGGGTGTTTGATCAGAAGCGTACGGCTGACGATCCAATTATATGACAATATGGCTTGCCATACCATCACCAGCTGCACGTGGCCATTTGACCGCGTGCTGACTGGCCTTAAAACAGGTAAAAAGTTCAGTTAAGCTTCAGAAGGACTACAGCCAGTGATTCATCAAAGTCCAAATGGACGTTCATTCAGACGCTGCACTCAGCGGACGCACGGCCGACGATCCAAACAGGTGAGATCACAAAATATCCGACATGTTCAGGGTTCAATGCAGGCAGAAGGAGGGGAAGCATTTAATGCGCTTTGAGAGCTCCTCAGCTCCGATCTTTTGCCCCTTTTATTCAGCCACACGTATCTGCCGACCATTAAAAACTATATAAGCAGTCAAAGCTTAATGAAAAATGTCAGGGGGTGGGGGTTTTGAGTTTGGACCTGTAATTACTGGTAGTTTGACGGATCGGGTGGGGTTCGGAAATGATGCTTACAGGCTGGGGCCGGGTCGGATATTTTGGACCAGAATGCAACTCTAATTACAGGGACACATGGAGACAAACAAGACAAACAACCATTCACTCTCTCACTCACACCTAGGGACAATTTAGTCACCAGTCAGTCTAACATGCATGTTTTTGGTCTGTGGGAGGAAACAGGAGTACCCGGAGAAAACCCACATAGCACAGAGAGAACATGCAAACTCCACCCAGAAAGGCCCCGGCCGGAATTCGAGTCCGTTATCTTCTTGCTGAGAGGTGGCAGCTCTACCCACTGAGCCAACGTGCCACCCTGTACTACAACACATGACTTAATTGTCTGTGGTCCAGTTTAGGTTGGAATCATCCATGCTGGATGATTCAGCCCTTTTTAAGAATATTTATTTAACTCCATTCTTTACAAAGTCTGGGAAGTATGTTGTTATTAACACTCAGCCTGTTTCTGTGACACATTAAATCAAATATGCCTTCAATCACTACAATACAAAGTTCAGTCATAGAGCTTCAAACTACACAAAAGTCCACAGGTTGACATCAAGCAAATAAAAAGAGAAAAGAAACGTTTTTACATTTTCAGAACGTGAATTGAGCAACTCTTGTGTTGTCTCCACAAACACTCTTACATTTTATGCACGCCTTACACTTAGCCTGTGTGTCTCACATGTTTCAGTCATAATTATTATCATAATTATAATAAAATAATTTATGAATCTAAGGAGTAATTCACTTCTCAAGAAAGTTTTTAGAGTAATTGGAACAATCAGATTTGGTCAAATCTGCACTCAAAAAGACCACTCCTGCACCCAAAAGCTGCACATGCATCGCCCTACAAATGAAAGACTACACATGAAGTCACCGTGTAAAAATGTTGGACGGGGACACGTTTTCTAGGAAGTTTAATTAGGTCACATCTCCCAGTTTTAGCACAATGCCGCTGCACAGCAATCCTAAACATACAGATAACAGAACAAAATGACTTATTGAGGCCAAATCAGCCTCATGCTCTCAGTCCAAGTAAACATGTGTTTCACTCAGAGCGCACTGAAAGGAGAAAACAGCCAAGAGATGAACATGAGTTCATTTAAACAGAAGAAATCTGCAGTTATTTAGGATGCACATATCAGCTCAACAGTGCAGGCACATGAAGGTTTTAAAAATAAATGTCAGCACTGGGCGAGGCTGGACGATGGCGTGCAGCTAGGGTCAGACCCATACTGGTTTCAGCCATTGTCAAGAGGTGGAAACATCATTGGAAGTTTAAAATTTGTTAAAGTATAACATAGTTTAGTTGGCATGTTCATAAAATGAGCTACTATTTTATTGCAAATACATGCTTTTGGTAAGAGTTGTTTTAGCTGCATCTGGATATTTATTTAATCTGAACATTTTCAAAATCTCTTTTAAGAAATCTAATGAAGGCTAAAACAGCCATGCCACATCCAGGCTTTCTGAAGGTCTTTCAAAGCTTTTGTTTGAATACGTGCTAATGCACTTGAATAATTGATCATCATCAGTGTGATCACCTTTATGGTAGCAGGAGTTTTGCTGCTATGGAGCATAGGTGTATGTTAACACAATGCCAAGAAGGAGAGACAACAGCAATGACCATGGAAGATCAGTGGTGTCCATCAGTGTGGAAAAGATTAAAGGTCAGCTCCAAGCAGTTTGGAGTAAATCATTCTATACAGAGATTTCAGTGAGTTGCCAGTCTTCTAAGGAGAGGAAGTCAATTCTATCTAACCTCAGAGAAACTGCAAATGATCCATCTCAGACTCTACAGGCGCTTGTTAGCAGTTTAAAGGTAAACTTTTATGTGAGTAAGGGTTGTAAGAGCAGCTATCCATGTAGATAACAGCAAAAAAGCCTGTTTCTGAACCACTTTGGCCTTGGTTGTCCTCAGGCTTTCTGTGAGCAGCAAGTTGGCCGTCTGGCCCGCAACATTTGATTGTTGTGCATGATGACTGATTGTTTTAGAAGGGTGTGCTTTGCACGTGTTAAACGCCTACTACTGAGATTCCAACAGGAGGTTGGCTTGAAACACAGCTGTGAAGGCTACCTTGCAGATGTTGGACACTGTCTATCATGGTGCGCTAAGATTCATAACTGGCTGTAACTATCGTGCCCACCACTGCACCCAGTATTCACTGGTTAACTGGTCATCATTAACTTCACACAGACTCTCTCACTGGTACATTTTCATCTTTAAATCACTTCTTGGTCTGCTGCCTTCATACATCTCCTCCTACATGTCTCTGCGTGAGTGCAGCTACAGCGTGCGCTCCCAGGACATCATTACCTGCAGTGTTCCCTCAGTGAGGACTGAACTAGACAAAAGGACCTTCTCCTGCTCCGCTCCTGTTTCCTGGAATATCTTACAAAAAGACCTGAAGCTCTCGACCTTTGACCTCTCTAAGTGGCTTCAAACATTTGCTAAATTCCTGGCAAAACCAATGCAGACATGTTCCTGTTTTTAGTTTTCTACATCACTTTACAGTGTAGCTGTTTTTGTTTCGTTTTTTAAAATAACATTTTCTTTTATTAGTTATTGTCAATGTGTATGCTTTCTTTTATGATTGTCCACTGTTGTCATCATTCTTTGTTAAAATCATTTCTCTTGTAAAAGCGTCTCCAAGGCTCAGTGGGATTAACCTGTAGAAATAAAGGTTGAATGAACCTATGGGACAGATGTGATTGGCAGGTCATAGACTAAGGAAGTCTTCTGGATGAGAAATGAAATGTTTCTCAGTTAAAGAAACTGGTCCAGATGACATGATTTAACTTTTTTTTGTTTTTATGCGAGTAAAACTAAAAAAAAAGACTAAAGTGTGGCATTTTTTTTTAGAAAGTTTGCAGGAGAAAACCTCTTTTGTCTAAAAACAAAAAAGGCATCTTGGCTTAGGTTTGTAAAGTTTCATCTGATGGACAAATCTTCTGCAACAATGTATTTCATACAGATGAGATCCTTGTAGAGATGTTTACCCATAATGCACCACATCATTTTAAATGAAAACCAAACACAGCACATCAGTTCAAACACCTCCCCCAACTGTTAGCACAGCGGTGGAGGGTTGATGGTTTGCAGTCAGTGAGTCAAACATGAACGTCTCTGTAAACAAAAAGTATTTTTGAGTCGAGCATGAGGCCATCTGTCCGACAGCTGAAGCCTGGACCAGACTGGGTCATGATGTGTGACACCAGGACCTGCAGCCACACAGTAAACAGAGGTTGAGGTAATAAATGTTGTATAATATGGTTTTGTTGATTGTAAATTTGCACGAGTTTAGAGAACCTAAGCTCAATAACTGAGCATTTATTATATTTATGTAGTTTATTTTCACATTTTAG